GCTATTCCAGCTAGTATTGTTTTCTTTTTTACAGTTGAGAAAACAGAGGCTCCAAGAGATTAACTTGCCCATGGTGACAAGACTAGTTATCACCAAGTCTATTTCTAGAGCATTCTTCTATTCCCACTGCCCAGTACAGCTACTCAGCTGCATTTGCACCTCCAGCTTAAAGGCTATCAAAATCAAGCCTGGAACTTCAGTGACCTTTAGGATGGTCTCAAGGGAGTGAGCCGAACCCTGCCCACTGTCCTTCCCCAAGTTAAGTGTGGGTTCGAGATGAGACAGGAATGCATATAATGTAATGTAAATAGGGCTTCAGCAATGCATATTGCTTTCTTGAATTAGAGCTCGTCTTCAGCATTAATTATCAGAGCAGAGTGCACGCGGGTACAGCCTGTGGTTTGCGGGGAGAGAGACATGCTATATGGAAAAGTCAAGGTTCTGAGAGCTGAGAAACCAAAGAGCTAGCAGAAGAAGGATTTGATGCAGGGTTTCTGGAGCCATCAAGGGGTTCATTCATGGATAAACCAGGAAAGGCTTGGAGACAACTTGGAGAAGGTGGAGAGGCTGGGAGTGAAAGTGGGGCTGTGCTTAGGCAGATAGAAAAGAGCTAGACAGAGCTGGGTAGACTCTAGAAAGAACAGTCACTGCCTTGGTGTTCAGGTGGAAAATCCTAACTGCAGGCATTTGTTCTGTGCCAGGTGCTATCGTTAAGTATTAATTCACTGAGGGAGAACATTTCAAATTTAGAACTCAGGGGAAGGCCAAACCAGAACGTGAAGACCAAGAATGTGGGATTGTGGCTGAAGGCATCAGTTAGAGCATTCCCAAGAGCTGGCATGTAGGGTGGGCTCACTTGCTTATAAATAGACTGTGCACGTGCAACTTGGCTCTCCCTACGTGGGGTTTGTACTTTGAGGCTGGCAAGAGCCAATTGTGTGCATCTCTCCCTAATTCTGTCCAGTGGCTCTCAGTAGTAGTTTACAATGGGCCAGGGTTGGAGTATTTACATGATGGAAATCAGCAAAGGCCACAGATCAGGGCTCCTCCTCACCCCCAAGAGCCATTTGCTAGCTCATACACCTCGAACCATGATGCGTGGATGGGGTTCTGCCACACCTATTTAACGAGCCCCTTCCATAAGCGGTGATCAGCACTTGCATTGTCGAAGCTGCTGACTCTGAAGTATTGTACAGGATGCTGGGGATAAAGGGATGCACGAGACAGACACAGACCCTGTCCTTGTGGACCTCACAGTCAAGTAGGGAAAATGGAAACAAGGTTAACCCAAATGTTAGCCCAATTAATTCAATTGTAAGTAATGCCACAAAGAGCAAATAAAGGGTAGGGAGGCCATCTCACCTCCTCCACCTGGTCCTGCAGCTCAATTATCAAGCGTTTTTTCCTGGAGAAGCAAAGCATGGCTGTCCTCACTGTTCTTACCCTCCAGCCCTGCATTTCCTTATCAGTCACAGGTAACTCTTCAGCGCTGCAGGGGCACGCCTCCTCCCCTGGGCCCAGAGAGGTTTTCTGCGGCAGAGGCCAGAGCCAGTGCCTTAGCAGAGCAGCCTCGCAAAGCCACCCTCCCCCGTACTCGCACCTGGCCAGCCCAGCTCCCGCCACTCTTTGGCTCCCCAGGACATCATGGTTGCCATGGGAACCCACTCACTTCAAAGGGGAACCAAGGAGACTGGAGGGGAGGAGGGAGAGTGAAATCGGGATTAACCTCACCCTCTTGGCCCTGTCTGCATTGCTGGCAGCCTAATCCCCAGGTCTCAGACAGCACCCAGCACCTGACGCACAGTCCACCAGCATGGGCAGGGGTTGCTGTGGTCCAAGCTAAGCTGGAACTTCTTTTGGGAAGAAAACCTCAGGATTGAGAGAGGGTTGAGGAGGGACAGAACTGAACTGGGTCCAAACCTACAGCCCCCACGCCACAGGCCTCTTCTTCTCCGACCCCTCTCAGCATTGCTCCTGGGTCACAAACACAATTACCCAGGATGTGCATCCAATCACGGGATCTGTGCGGATTAGACCGCAATCATTAATCTGAGCAGGAGCTCCTGGTTGCCTTGCTGATTAGCCCAGATGATGCCCTGGTATGATCCAATTAAAGACACACTCTCCCTCCCCCCAACACAGGCAGTTTCCACATCACAAGGGAACCAATACATTTCATTAACACATCCTCTTACACAAATACGACCTCCTGCACTGGCAGACTCCCTCCCGATTGACACACTGCCCCTGTACTGCCTAGTGGGGGCCTGGGCAGGCAGGGCCTCTCCCACTTTCCTTCCTCTGTGGCTTTGGGAGGGGCCATGGATGGGGGCTTCCAAAAATCAGGGCTGGGACGCTCTTCTGAATGAAAAGGTCTTGTTACATTTATTGACATGAAATGCTGGCTCCCTGATGTGCTTTGGAGCAGCCAGGCTGCCCCAGGCAGGCAAATCTAATTAAAATTACCCGACCCTGCGGGAAGCTGCGCTCCCTCCCAGGTCATCACTGGCACTGGCTACAGTCATGGCGGCCGGTACTAATGGGAGAGGTGTGGTTGTGGGAGATAACTCCAGCGTCTTGAGGTGCAGAGGCAGCATGTATGCCTGGGCTTCCCTCTTCAGAGCCGCACGTGCGTGGTGCAGTCTCCAAGGACTGTAGGGTACCCACCTCCTGGGAGAACATGAAGCTCAAGGGTGAATGAAGGTGGCCAGGAAGATGTTTTGGTTGAAGGAAAGTTTGGGCTGTACTCTGAGTGACAGCAGGGTGAACAGCACCCACGGAGTGGAGACCCACCTCTCCTGCTGCTTGGCCTGGGGTCTTGGGAAGGGAATCCACAGACCCTGTTGCAGGAAAAAGGAAACCCATCTGCTTTGTTCCAGATGTGGCACCAGGTGCTTGCATGGGGTGTCTCAAGAACTCTTCTCAAATGATCCTGACACTAAAGATCTTGAAACTAAACTCAGCCTAGGTTTCCAGAAACTCATCATTACACCATTATTCTGGGGGGTCTTTCTAGACCATGATCTATGCCTACTGCAGGTCCCGCCCCCAAGGCTCTGAGAAGGTGCCTAGGACCAGTCTGTATTGTGTACGAGGGTTTTATGGGATCTCATGAAGGTGCACAGCATGAGGCCTTAGGTCTGAGCAGGCCCTGAGAGTCTGTGTATCCAATCAGCTCCCAGGTGACATGATGCTGGGAGTGCATGGACCATACCTTGAGTAGCCCTGATATAAACAGAGTACCACGAGCATCCATCCAAGACATCAAGCTTCCAGGCAGCTTTCAGAAGCCTTGTGACTCCCCTCTCCCTTCTTAGGCTCCCCACAAAAGCATAACTTACACCAGGCTGGAGGTTGTAGCAGCTCTGCCATGGCCATTCCTGGAGCACATTAGGCCCTAGTAGGGCCTCCCGCTCAGTCTTTAGGACCAAACTCAAACAGTGCCTCCTCTGGGGAACTTCCCCTAGTGCTCTACCCACACAGCAGCGGTTTCTTATTTGCGTATTTGTGGGCTCCTGGGGAGGCGAGTGCACTTGATCTGTTATTTCACTCGTTTTTCCCTGAAGTCAAGCCTGGTGCCTGCACATATTAATAGTAAGGGTTCAGTAGAAGAGACTGGAAGAAGGAGGAGACTAGATCCTGGAGTTCTTTAGGGCCTAAGGCAGAGCTCTCCACCCATACACAGTTGGACCTAGCCTGTGCATTGTGTAGGGCAGGGCCTACACACTATGTTTTATCTTTCTTCTGGGCCTAGGAAGGCCCCTGTGCCAGGATCCATGGTTAGGGCCCACTGCTCTGGACTCCTGACTATCAGCATTAGACACATTCAGCTCATCCGAGTAACTAAAAATAATGCCAATGATAACTGCACTAATTATCACTGTTGTCATAAAGGCACTGTCATGGTGGTGGGGTGGGGGAGAAGAGATCAGTCTTCCTATTCATTTGTCTTGGGTGGATCAATCTATGAGTTCCTGGCATTAGCACCTGCTGCAATACAGCCAAGCCAGGGTAAACTTGCACTTGCTGATGCATGTGAACAAGTGAGCTCACACAAGCAAATGTGAGCAAGGATCCAACTTCAATCCTGGGTGCAGACTGAGGCATTGTTTTTAGTGGTGTGAACTCCTCATGGATAAAGGATGACTAAAATCCCGGCTGGAGCCTCTCTCAAGCCTGCTCTCAGATCTTCCTCTCCAACCGTGTACATAAGAATGGAGTTCATTAACGCAAACAGGCATTTCCCTAGGCCTCAACCCCCACAATCTGCCAGATTTGGGACCCAGTCCTGGGTGCTTGGGGCAGAAGCAGAACACGATGAAACAAGCTGTCTGCTCTCAGCAAACACCCCATCTTGAGAGAGTGCCAGAGCTTACACAGTCTCACATACAACACCTATTGCTAAGACGAACACTGAAGACCCACTGCAGCAGATTCAACCAGAAGGCTTAAAAAAATTTGCAACTCCCATCCTATAGTTGACCTACTGATGTAGGATCCCTGGATGCTGCCTATCGATGTTCCTTAGTTCTGGAGTCCAGAACTAAGCATCTTAACAGAAAGTCCTGTGATTGTCATGAATACGAAAGTTTGTGTGCTTCCAAAGCCTGGGTGGTGCCATGAGCTGTCCAGTACTCTACTGGGCTTGTTGGAGGAAAGGCAATGATAGGTTACAGGGCAAGGAGAGTCCAAGGCAGTTGAAGGTGTCTGAGGCTCATTACAACCCACTTTCCTAGGTGAGACGGGAAGGGGTACTCCAGGGAGATGCTGCCCAGGCCATCTTATCTCTTATCAGACATTTCCAGGAAGCTAAAGTTAACCCACCACATCCAGCTGGGGGATTTTGGGATTAACTTGGTAAGAGAAGGAGGCTGCCGAGAGCAGCTGTTGGCCATGGTCTATGATGGAGCCCACCCTCTGGCCTGAATTCTTGTGTCTTGCAGCTGAGCTGGGCCTGAGACTGGCTGGAGGCTTCTGAGCAGGGCTGCAGCATCTCCTACCTGTACACAGCTCGTTTGTCAGCCTCCAGCTGGGCCTGGGGGTCAATGGGGGCACTGGGCACAGGTGTGCTGGCAGCAGCTGAGGGTGCAGAGATGTGGACAGCCTGGGCCTTGGAGGGTGGCTGGGCAGTTGCCGTCATCTGCAGAGAGAAGAAAGGGGAGGAGCTGGGTTAGCAAGGCCAGAAGCTGGTTCCCAAGCTGGAGTGCAAGGTCTACCTTGGGCTTTGGATTGCTTGTATAAGAGAGTATGGAGAGAGAATTGTGAGTGCTTATGAGAACCTGTTCATATGTGTGCTACAATAGGAAGAGTTTCAAGTTAGAACATTCTAGAAAACAATTTAGGGCCATCCTAAACCGGGTGTTGCCCAACACACTTTGAAGAGATGATTCTTTACACGAATATGGTGACCATTGGCCAGAAGTGGAAAAAAAAATATGATGGACCCTTTAAACTGTGCTTACAGATCTTAGGACAGTAATAAGAAACAGCCAAGTCAGTCTTCATTTGGGCAGAGGTTTGTTTATTCCCTTTAACGCTTTGGAAGGTTTTGATCAACTGAATGATTCTCCAAATTTGGTTTACCTGACCCCTTGAAGATAAGAAGGCTTATGTGGGAAACAGACAGATTTCTGCTCTTGGCCATAACAAATAAATATTTCGGGCAGTGGTTTTTATACCATGTTACATGTTTTTGAAGGTGCCCCAAGGCCTCCAATTTTGTGCCAACCAGAGCACATATATTGGACTTTCTTTCTGAGATTTCATTTAAAGAAATAGTTCAATGGCTCTACATTTGTGAAAACCATCATTACAGCATTTAATGCGTTTACATATTTCCTCCAGTCAAATAGATCCCTAGAAGTGTGAATGGTGACAGCCCTCAAGGTTCTCTCACATCAACCCGTGCACAGCACCACAGCAGCTCCTACCACACTGTATTGTAGGGCTGCATACAATTCTGCCTCCTGCTCTAAGCCTTGCCCAGCACCCAGCTGACATACCCTTAACAAACAGGCTTGATGCTTAATAACATTTGTTGAGAAAATGAGTGAGTGAATAAATGCATAAATATTCCTTGAGAGAATCAAGGTCCCTGCTTCTGGAAGAAGTACTGCACTGTGTGAAGACAAGCACACCACTGTCGCTGCAGAGGTCCCCACGCATTTGTGAGTCCCCTTCACTGAGCCCTTACCTGCGATGCACCTCCTTGGAGCAGAACACAGCTCCTCTGCCTCTTGCTTTACACTGCTCTAGTCCTCACCATGACCATATACCATACCAGGATACTTCCAAAAGTTCATAGAAAATGGAATATTTTTATTTTAGTGCAAAAAAATTAAATCTACACATAGTTTTTCTCAAAATACTCATTTTCTGTGACCTTTCTGAAGACCCCTCATATACATGAATTTCAAAAATTTTAATGCCATTTTTGCATGAACTTTTGGAAGTACCCCCATATAGCTACTTGCTTAGTTATTTTCTCTCCACTTCTGATTAAAACTTAAGCTCAGCCGGCGCCGTGGCTCACTAGGCTAATCCTCCGCCTAGCGGCGCCGGCACACCGGGTTCTAGTCCCAGTCGGGGTGCCAGATTCTGTCCCGGTTGCCCCTCTTCCAGGCCAGCTCTCTGCTATGGCCAGGGAGTGCAGTGGAGGATGGCCCAGGTGCTTGGGCCCTGCACCCCATGGGAGACCAGGATAAGTACCTGGCTCCTGCCATCGGATCAGCGCGGTGCGCCAGCCACAGCGTGCCAGCCACGGCGGCCATTGGAGGGTGAACCAACAGCAAAGGAAGACCTTTCTCTCTGTCTCTCTCTCTCACTATCCACTCTGCCTGTCAAAAAAAAAAAAAAAAGTATATTGTGCTTGGCCGGCACCACGGCTCGATAGGCTAATCCTCTGCCTTGCGGTGCCAGCACACCGGGTTCTAGTCCCGGTCGGGGCGCCGGATTCTGTCCCAGTTGCCCCTCTTCCAGGCCAGCTCTCTGCTATGGCCCGGGAGTGCAGTGGAGGATGGCACCCTGCACCCGCATGGGAAACCAGGAGAAGCACCTGGCTCCTGGCTTCGGATCAGTGCAATGCGCCAGCCGCAGCACGCCAGCTGTGGCGGCCATTGGAGGGTGATAACGGCAAAAGGAAGACCTTTCTCTCTGTCTGTCTCTCTCACTGTCCACTCTGCCTGTCAAAAAAAAAAAAAAAAGTATATTGTGCCCAGCCTGGGCTGTTGCAACCATTTGGGGAATGAACCAGCAGATGGATGACCTCTCTCTCTGTCTCTCCCTCTCTCTGTAACTCTGCCTCTCAAATAAATAAATAGATAATTTTTTTTAAAAAAAAGGATATTGTGCTTCGCTGTCAGATTTTTTTTTGTCACTGTTGGCTGAGCTGAGGGGCATTCCCAAACTCAGGATGCAAGAGGCTAAATACAGCTTCATGGTGCCTAGAAGCCAGCAGATGATTGCTGGAATCCTAGGGTCTCTTTCTAATTAGTCTTGACCTTGGGAAAATCCTTAACATTCCTAAGGTCCTATTTTCTCATCAGTAAGCAAATTGGTGACCTTTTAGGATTCATGAGTGTTAAATAGGTGCTATAAGAAAGAAAATAGAAGCAATCACCTCATTTTTCAAGTGCAGAAAGATGGTAGGTCCAGAAAAAACCAAATACTGGTCATCTGGGTCAGACTCATCTCTTCATTCATTCACTAATGCAACTGATTATTGCTTCAAATACTTTTGAGTTCCTACCATGTACCTGGCGCTCTGCTAGGCCCTGGGTCACAAAGATGAGTGCCTGCTATCATGGAACTTGATGTCAGGAAAACGGTAAGTGACCTTGGCAAAGTCATGACATCCTTGTGGAAACCATGGAGAGATGAGGCCCAGTGGACTATTGTGGGGATTGGTAAGCCACACCCAAGGGATGACAATTAAAGGAGAACTGTCTGCGTGGGGGAGGTTTCTAAGCAAACACTACACACTTCCTCCTGTGGGGAGCAATTCGGACTATACTGTTACTGGAATTAAGACTTATTCTATACATCTGCTCTCCCACAATATGGTGCTGGGAGAGGAGCAAACAGCTTCTACCCAGCTGCCTCTCACCAACTTGACAAGCTGCAGGAGCTGCTCCTGATTGGAGGAGAGCAGCGTACTCGGCGTGTGGGTAGCAGAGTTGGGATTGGTGGAAGAGGACTATAAAGGAGGAGAGAGACAACATGCACCAGGAACATCTAAGGGGAACATCTATCTGAAGGAACACCTGTGCAGCCCCCGAGAGAGCCGGCCGGCGGTGTGCCGCTCCCCCGTGGAAGTGGGGAAAGTGGCAGGGGGAACCGCCCTTCCACGGAGGTGGAAGGGATGGTAGCCAACCCGGGAAGAACCAGCAGCAAACCCGGGGAGGGCCGAGCAGACAGAAGAACAGCGCAGGGTCCTGTGTCGTTCCTCCACGAAGACGGGGGAGCGACATAATGGTGCCGTGACTCGGATAGGAAACCTAGGAGGGAAGAAACAGGAAGAAGTGGGAAAATACCGGAGAGAGAGACTAGCAAAGAGCCTAGGGAAAAGCCAGATGGAAAAGGTGCCGGAAGAAGCTATCGAAAGCCTAGGCATAGACTCGGATACGGACTACGGGGGGATGCTGGGAGAAATCTCTAAGGTCGAAAGCGAAAGTGAAAGCTAGAACAAACAGACTTGGATACGGACTGTGGGGAGAAGCCAGGAGAAATGAGGGAGGAATGTTGTTGAAAGAAAACTTAGGGAAACATACCGGGTAGAGAAAAATGTTAGGGAGGATGTAGCTGCGGGGGCAGGCTGAGGCGGAAACGTAAGCCAGCTTGGAATTCAAGTCAGCCCGGGGAGCAAAAGGCGAAAAACTAAACTAGAGGCAGAGACGCGTGGGCCAGGTTGGAATCCGTCAGATTAGCCCGGGGAGCAAAAGACGGGAAGCCAAACCGGGAGCGGAGACGTAAGCTATAGGTTGCATTTCGTCAGGTTAGCCCTGGGAACTTAGACTGAAAACTAAACCAACCGGTGGCGGAAACGTGAGCTAGGCTGTGTGATTCGCGGAAGCCGCCACGTGCAGAGAGAGCACGGGGTGCAAATAGATAGGAAACGTGGGGCTGGCGCGGAGGCCGTGGTGCGGGCGGGCGCGAAGGGGCGTGGAGACCGCGGAGCGTGCGCGCAGAGCCGGGAACCCGCCGCGGGGCGGGTGCCGGGAAGCCGCGCAGATGAGAGAAGCGCGGGCTGAAGCGGCACAGAGCGGAGAAGCCGCCGCGGGGCGAGGTGCGGAGAAGCAGCCTCGGGGCGGGCGCCGGGATGCCGCAGGGATAAGAGAAACAGAAGTTTAGAAATAAAATGAGAGAAATAGGAATGCTGGCAGATAGAAGTAAAATAGGAGAGATACGAATGCCCGGAGGTAGAGAAATAGAGAAAAATAAGGCCTCCCCTCAACATGGCAATGAGAGAGCTTGGATTCGGTCTGTCTGATCAGTGGGACGATAAGCACCTGCGGGCGGCTAGCAGCTTATGCGCCGCAGGTCACCGAAGACAGGCACGAATTAACATCAATAAGTCTCCCCACAATACGGCAAGGAGAAGGCTTGGATTCGGTTTGCCTGATTGGTAGGGCTTGTAAGCACCTGCAGGCAGTTCTAGCAGAGCAGAGCGTGCGCTGCAGGGCACCGAACACAGGCACACATCAGCGCCTAAAAACCTCCTCATAACATGGCGAAGAGAGGACCCGGATTCGGTTTGCCTGATTGGTAGGGCTTGTAAGCACCTGTGGGCAACTCTAGCAAGCAGAGCAGAGTGTGTGCCGCGGGGCACCGAAGACAGGCGCGTATCAACGCCAAAAATAAAAAGAAAGGGGGATCTGTGGGGAGCAACTGGGAGCAACTCGGACTAGACTAAGTTACTGGAATTAAGACTTATTCTATGCATCTGCTCTCCCACAATATGGCGCTGGGAGAGGAGAAAACAGCTTCTACGCAGCTGCCTCTTGCCAACTTGAGTGATGACCTCCAGGAGCTGATCCTGCTCCTGATTGGAGGAGAGCAGCGTACTCGGCGTGTGGGTAGCAGAGTTGGGATTGGTGGAAGAGGACTATAAAGGAGGAGAGAGACAACATGCACCAGGAACAT